GACTTGGGGTGGTGAGCACACAGTACAATCTACAGGTGATGTGCTGTAAAACTGTACACCTTAAACCTATAATTTTATTAACCAGTGTAACCCCAATAAATTCAGTAAAATAAAATAAGAAAATCCAAATTCCACTCATGGTGTTTTTCTACAATGGAGTAAAGAAAATTAAATGATCTTTTCTCAAAGAGATGGATTTTTTTTTTTTACATTTTCTTTTCTGGGTGTCTTAAAAATGTTATTAACTATCACCATTTTGATTCTCATCTATCAGAATGATACTCGTATTTGCCTAAACTTCGTACTGAGTGTTTACGTTTACAAATGTCAGATTTTCCAGGGATGTGACAGGCCTTTCGCAGTTTGATTCTACCAGGCTTGTCAGCTTTGTTCACCACTATGGATTACTTGGGGAGCTTAAGAGAATTTGAGATTTTTTAAAAATATATTTTATTGATTATGCCATTGCAGTTCTATTCCCCCTTCATTCCCCTCCACCCTGCACACCCCCTCTTCCACCATCCCCCCCTTTAGTTTATGACCATGTGTCTCAAGTTCTTTAGATTCTATATTTCCCATACTATTCTTGCCCTCCCCCCTATCTATTTTCTACCTACCATCTATGCTACTTATTTTCTGTACCTTCTCCCCCCTTCTCCTTCTCCCACTTCCCTGTTGCTAACCCTCCATGTGATCTTCATTTCTATGGTTTGCTCCTGATCTAGCTGTCCTCTTAGTTTGCTTTTGTTTTAGGTGTGGTTCTTAGTAACTGTGAGTTTGCTGTCCTTTCACTGTTCATCTTTTTTATCTTCTTTTTCTTAGATAAGTCCCTTTAACATTTCATATAATAAGGGCTTGGTGATGATGAACTCCTTGAATTTGATCTTATCTGAGAAGCACTTTATCTGCCCTTCCATTCTAAATGAAAGCTTTGCTGGATAGAGCAATCTTGGTTGTAGGTCTTTGCTTTTCATGACTTGGAATACTTCTTTCTAGCCCCTTCTTGCCTGTAAGGTCTCTTTTGAGAAATCCACTAACAGTCTGATGGGAAGTCCTTTGTAGGTGACTGTCCCCTTATCTCTTGCTGCTTCTAGGATTCTCTCCTTCATTTTAATCTTGGCTAGTGTAATGATGATGTGTGTTGGTGTGTTCCTTCTTGGGTCCAACTTCTTTGGGATTCTCTGAGCTTCCTGGATTTCCTGGAAGTCTATCTCCTTTGCCAGATTGGGGAAATTCTCCTTTATTATTTGTTCAAGTAAGCTTTCCACTGGTGGCTGTTCCCCTTCCCCTTCTGGTACCCCTATAATTCGGATGTTGGAGCATTTAAAGATGTCCTGGAGGTTCCTAAGCCTCTCCTCATTTTTTTGAATTCTTGTTTCTTCATTCTTTTTTGTTTGGTCATTTTTTTATTCCTTCTGGTCCACTCCCTTGATTTGAGTCCCAGTTTCCTTTCCATCACTCTTGGTTTCCTGTGCATTTCCATTCATTTCAATTAGTTTATCCTTCATTTGTTCCTCTAATTTGTGACTAAAATCAACCAGTTCTGTGAGCATCCTGATTACCAGTGTTTTTGAACTGTGCATCTGAAAGTTTTGCTATTTCTTGGTTGCTTAGAGTTATGGGCTCTGGGGCTTTGAGTTCTTCTTGAGCCATGTTTTGGTCTGTTCCTGTCGCCGCCTTGCGCCCTCCTTGGGTCCACCCGTTGCTACTCCACACCTGGGATCCACCCACAGCTGCCTGCCTGCCTGGTTGCGCGCCTGGGTCGGTCAGTTGGGTCTTTCCTGCCTGACCCCGCTCTGCTGCTGGCTTCGCCCCTCTTACCGGTTTTGCTGAAGGGTTCGTTGTTGTCAGACTTCCATGTAGTTCAATTTTTCTGTGTTTTGGCTGCGTATTTTGTTACTAAAACTTTGTTGTCTTTAAACTTGGTTGTGTGACAAGGCACAGTGTTTCCACCTATGCTTCCATCTTGGCGGAAGTCTCTCAGAATTTGAGATTTTAATTCCTAACTGCCACTTACTAATTGCAAGATATTGGGCAAGACATTCAAAATGGTATTGATAATACTACCTTTTTGGATTTTGAGGATTAAATGAAATAATGCATTTAAAGTGCCTAGTTCAGTGCCTGGCATATAGTAAGTACTCAAGAAATGTTAGCTACTGTTCCGTTGTTTGGGCTGCCTTACTCCTTATCTTGAATATCTCGCTCTACCCAAATGTGCAGGGCCACCCTGGAATACCTTATTCGTTGTGCCTACTCCTTTTACGTCAGAGTGTACCCCTTCTATGGAATCTTCCTAGCGTGGAGTCCTTTGTCATCCCCCCCACCTTACACAGGGCCCCCCCCCCCAGTTGGTGTTCCTGCCCATAGCTCTGTTTCGGTCGTGCATTTTATTACAATCTGTTCTCCAAGGTGTTGTCTTTTTTTTTCTTTTTACATTGTACTCTTTGTTTTTTTAATTTATTTTTTATTGTTTATGCTGTTACTGTAACTGCTATTACAGTTGTCCTGTTTTTCCCTTTCACCTCCCTTCACCCAGCCTCAAGAAATGTTGCCTCCCCACTTCCATAATCAGCCCCCTCACCATTGTCCATGTCCATGAGTCCTTCATGTATGTTCTTTGACTAATCCCTTCACCGTTACGTCAGCCTCCCCTCCTCCCTCCCTTCTTACAGCTGACAGTCTGTTCCGTGATTCTATGCCCCTGGTCCTGTTTTGTTCATTAGATTCTTCTTATAAGTTGAGAACATACAGTATTTGTCTTTCACTGACTAGCTTATTTCACTTAGCCAGTTCCATCTATCCTGTCACAAAAGGTAGGAATTCCTTTTCTTTCTGCTTCATAGTATTCTACTCTGTAAACTTACCAATTTTTTTAATATACTCATTTATTGATGGGCACTCGGGCTGCTTCCAACCTTGGCTAATGTAAATAACACTGCCATGAACATGGCGCAGCACAAATTCTGTCTGATTGGTGTCTGGGGATTCTTATGTTATATTCCCAGCAGTGGCATTACTGGGTCAAAAGGCAGTTCATTTTTAGTTCTTTTGTTACCAAACAGCAAGTGAGGTCCTGTTACCCACCACTTTCTAGGCAAAATTCTAGAGACAAAGGTTTGTTGAGAAAGGAGTCTTTATTCAAAAGCTTCACAGTTTTGGAATAAGAGCTCCCCATATGCATTAGTCACTTAAGTCTTTCCATTAATGCTAGAATCTTTAAAACCCGACTACTCCTATCATTCCCCCTGTTAGTTTTAATTACCTTATTTCTATAGGGTTAGTTTACAAACCAAAGCAACAGAAGATACAAAAGCTACGTGATTCTGGAAGAATGGCAGGCTTCTGCCTCACAGCTCATCCCCTCTAGAACGTCTAAGGAGTAAATAGACCAGCCCCATCCTAGGCTGTGCCCAGAGTTCCTTAGTCCGCTGGGAAACACAGGGAGCTGCAGCAGGACCATCTGGGTGACCTCTAAGAAGAAGAGAGCCCCAGAGCCAGCCTGTCTGGAGCCCGAGAGCCCTTCTTTTATTTCGTATATTCCAACCCACAATTCCATGGGGTCTGGAGGCACTCAGCTTCTCAGCCTTTCCTGTCCTAGACTGTTTACCATTGCCTCCTTCTGCTTCTCCCCAGTGATCTGATCAGATGTCTCTGTATCACTTTGAGAAAATTCCAGATGGTTTTCCATAGGGGCTGCACCAGTCTGCTTTCCCACCAGCTGTGCACTAGGGTTCCCTTTTCTCCACAACCTCACCAGCTCTTGTTTGTCGATTTATTAATGATGGCCATTTTGGCAGGTGTCCAAGCTGTTGTTCTAACTGAACTTTTTAACCCCTTTTAAAGGGCTAGGAATTAATTCTCAGTGTATTGGATCCCTTTGTTACCAGCCCTTCCTTGTGGCTAACAGGTTTTCAGTTGGTAAACATAAATGCTGTCTTCTAGACACTCTCATTTAATCCCCTCAACCACTTTGTGTTAGGTCAGCATTATTTCCTGTTGTTACCAGATTCGGAAACGAAGCTGGATTTTTGAGGTTAAATGAGGTTCACTTTGCCTCAGGGCACTTAGTTTCTCCAAATGCCACAAGTATAGAATAACCCACAATTAATACCTTACTACAGTTATGTAGCTATCCTCATACACTTGTCTTATTTGTGTATAAATAAAACAGCATTTAACTTATTAAAAGTGTTTTTTGATGATTGTCTTTGAAACAGCTTTGCTTTATTTTGCAACATGTGAAACACCTCCAGAATTGGGATTCATTCTGCTGATTCAGAATTGTAAAATTTGATCTGATAGACCTTATGTTCTTAATACTCTGTAGTATTGCTTAGCAAAATTATTGGGTGAGTAAATATATGTAACACATTAAAGTTTTTATATAACTCGAATATAATAGATAGTTGGAGTACTTCGTACTTGAAAGAGTTAATGTTGTATGTTTTTCCAAAATTTAATTCAGTAATTGTTTGTTTGTATATAAATGATAACCCTGTTTTACTCCTTATGTAAAGTTGTTATTTTAAGAAAATACAATAAATTTGGATGACCTGACGATTTGTTATGGCTTTGTATTTGATGAAAAATCACTCATTCTAGTATCCGGGGGAGGGGGGCTGGTGGTGATAAGAGGTAAATCATTAAATACAAAGTGTTGTATGTCATTAATTTTATAAACAGGTTAAAAGCCAAATTATCAGTGTGTATTTAATTGTGGTTAATCTAGGTGTTTTAATTGTGGTTTAATCCAGTTCCATCATAAATTCCAGGAATGAGAGACAGTTTTTTTTAAAGAACGAAGTATAGAGTTGAAGATGGGCAGTATTTATTGCTCTGTTGTATAATAGTCTTTGAATTTAGTTCATGGGTTTGTTTTTGTCTATTTTCATTTTTAGATTTGCTTGTTTAAAAAATATAAGTATTTTTCTCATTACAGAGCATAGTGATATTCTAAATGTCATCCTTGTAATAGTAATATTTATGTTCTATTTTAGGGAAGCTATGCGAAATTATTTAAAAGAGCGAGGGGATCAAACAGTACTTATTCTTCATGCAAAAGTTGCACAGAAGTCATATGGGAATGAAAAAAGGTAAGGTTATTATTTTTCTGGTGGATAGTTTATTGTAGCTGTCACATGAATTTGCAAATGATGTGTTAATATGCAGTAAGGGGTGATTTCTCTTGGGTTATTTGCAAGTACAAAATGAGAAATAGGGGATTTGTCTGTTAAAGGAGAAACAAAGTGAATTGTGGCAGATTTAGTAAAGATCATCTGGCTGAATCCCTGATACCACAAAATGTAATAATCTATATAATTTTTCTTTTGAGCTGCATGATGTTCTGTAAGTATTTTGGTGGTATATTATTAGCTTGTACAAAAAGTAGCTTTCCTTTTGGTGGAAAATGTAGCTTTATGAACAGATGTGACCCAAAGTAAAGGATCTCTGGGCTGAATGGTGGAGTGATTGCAAAGGAAAGCACTCATAGCCCTCTCCACCTTGATTGGCCTGGTGCCTCTTCAGATTAAGAAAGAACAGGAAAAGCTAAATTAGTGCCGCACGTGAATGTGGAACTGAAGCCAGAGAAGACTCCAGCATTCGGGCTGCCTGTCACCACCAAACCCAATAAGCGGAGACAGGGATTGAATCTTTATGGGCACTTTATTCAGATGGCCAGTGATCTAAGAAGATGGTGGGTTGATAGCCTAACAGATAGATCATCTTGTCTTTTCTTTCCAGGCCAAGGTTTTTATAGCAGGGAATAAACAAGGTGTGGTGAGGGGTGTTGAAATTTAGGGAGGAGTTAATTGTATTAAAGAACAACTTCAACATTCTCTCCCTGGGCATGGTCTTAAACTGTGCCCCAGGTGGCGGTCTTTAGCTGTGTCCTGGGTGGTGGTCATCTCACCCCGGACTACAGTGGCTCGGGTATCATCTTGATGGCTTGCAGTCCTTGTGAGGAACAAAGGTAGAACTGCTTATGGTCTTCTGGAGTCAGGGTGGGTCATACCTTCAGTTCCTGGAACAAAGCTTTTTTTTTTACATGCATTGATTACTAAGCTTGTTAGCTATCACTTAAACTAAAATTTTTGTAACGCTTATGTCTTTTATTAGTACTGCAGAAATGACATATAAATAAGACTGGCCAAAATTAAATTATAACATAAGATCTTCATGATTAGTATTTGTCACAGTATCTTTAAATTTCAGCATTTTTGGTATATGATCATAGACTTTGTTTATTTTTCTGCTTGGTTCCCAGAATTTTCTTGTTGATAATCTCTAGTCTTTGTTTTTCTGACAGCATTTTTGTGTTAAGCATTTCATGGACAAAAAGGCTTGCTTGTGAGGGAAGATGAAAAATTTTTTGGATTGGCTAGGAAGGTACCAAATTAGAGTAGGCAGAGGAAAGAAAACTCAGGTTTGGGTTTTAGGTTGAAAGGAATGGGTGGAATCTTAGAATTTGTGAGATAAGGAAATCTTAGCATATATGAGAGAAGTGAAATATAAGTATATAATTAAATTAATTTAAATGCTAGAAGAAAATTAAGAGTCTCTTAAAGTTCTCTAAGTCTGAGCTCAAAAGAAGTTGAAGCTATGTAATGATAATTCTGTCCTCAAAGAGAATGAAGAAGTAAAAATAGAATTTATAACTCATATTGTCAAGTATTCTTTTTATCTATATTTAAGCTTACTAATTTCTGATTATCTTACTTTACTAGTAGAACTTAATTATCTCATTTAAAATTAAATACTGGGGGAAGTTGATATCTGCAGTTTGGGACAGAAACCGAATCAAGATAGTGGATCCTTTTTTCATGGAGTTGATTCTCAAAATTCTGTTTGTGTTTGTATATATTTTTTAAAATAATGAAACTGAATAAAGTATGCATAGCTGATCATTTGTTTTGTTTTGTTTCTTGTTTTCCAAAGCAAGACAGAACAAGGCAACACCTTCATTGCCTGAGATGTCTCAAATTAGGCAGGCCTTGTGCCTCATAGTGAGTCTGAGGAAGAAACAGTTTTCTAGTCGTCAGTCAGTGAGGCAAGGTTTTGGAAATGCCTTTACAAATGTTTTTAGACCTGAGAATAATCTTGTAAATAGGGATATTATAACCCCATTCTGTGTGTCAGGAAACTCAAAATCAGAGACTTTATGTATGCCCAGGTTCACTTTAATTAGAAATCGATATAGCCAGCATTAGAACTCCTGGTCTATAACTCCAAATTTCTTATTCTTTTTATTTCCCTGATCTTCATAGCCTTCTATTTTGTGTTTTGATTGTTGGTTATCTACAGAAGGGCTTGAGGATGAGTAGGTTAAGACACCTAAAGAATACAAACTTTGTAAGTAAACCTAACTTTGCCTAGAGTTATTCCTCTTACCATCCCCTGAGTGAGACTGGGCGGGGTCTAGTGGAAATGGCATTAGCCGCGTGTTTATTATATTGCTGCCACTGGGGCAGGGCTGCTTTTCTTTCTCTGGGTTTTTGAAGACGCATTTTAGTGCAGTTGGGTTCATTTATTAATTTGGTTTTTCTTTATTTCTGATGACCTGTTTTATTTCTGATGACCTGTTAGGTGCCAGGTACCATGCAAAAGGATCTTCACTGGGAATTTTTAAGTTATGATGTCATTTAATATTATGATTCATAACAGAAGAGAAGAGCTACTCAAAAAAAAAATCACATCTAAGTCCAGATAAGGTTCCTGTTAGTCGCTTCAAAAAGTATTTTAGAGTGGCCATGTATTAGTTTTACAATAGTAAAACTTTTGTGCCTGATTACAAAATTTGTTTGCTTAGCACATCCAGTATCCTATTTCTGTTAGTGGTTAGTTTTACCTTTTCTTTATAGAAAGTCTTCACAGGCTAAAAAATAAACTTTCAAAGAGATTATTTTCATCTAGAGGAAATTTTCCATGAAAGAAACGGGAATGCCATTTAACATTAACATTCTTTCAACTTCGTCAAGGCTAGTGATTCAGCAGCAGTGAAGGTGATGGCCACACTGTGGAGACAACGGTAAAGCCCTTTAGATAGTTAGACTGATTCTGAAGTCGTACTGAATCTGTGTGTTAATTGAGATAACTGTGGTGTGGTATGCAGACAGTTCCTGGTTTTTGTTTTGCTTTTGAATTGAATAATCATCGAAGGGTAATGATTCTGCAAAGATAGTCAGATAATGTAAGTGATGTGCTTGGATTCATCTAACTCATTTTATATATTGGGCTGAATAAAAAGGCTTCTTTGAAGCTGCAAGGTATTTTTCAGATCTTTGAGGGAAAAGTTTCTGAATTCCCTGAAAATAAAGACAGATTGAACTAGGAAATGAATAACATCATAAATGTGTGCATGGCGCCGCCAAGTGGCAGAAAAAAACATTGTCACAGTTGCTTAAATACAGCTAGGGAAAGATTAGAAAATAGAAGTCACACTGTTTCAAAGGATATCCTTTTATAGCAACTGTTAAACTCTGTAAGCTGGCCTCTTTCTTGATGGTCGAACTTTTCACTCACCAAGTGGTAATATTAACCTGTTCAAATCCAAAAAATCTTCTATTTCACACCTTATAAATGTGTGTTTTAACTTTTACTGTTAATTAGGGGGGGTCTTTTTTCTCCTATATCTATGCCTTTAATTTCCTTTTGTGTGTATTCTTTCTCTTTTTTTGTACATATATCTTCTATTTTATTATTACTGAAGTCTGAGGAAATGAAAATTTGATTTGTTTGATGTTTTTAGGGGGGATTGCAATATTAGGATGTTTAAAATGTTTTTAAATGACTCAGCACATTGTAGAACTAAGATTATATTGGGTTTGCTGTTTTTTTGCATCACAGTTTTTTAAAAAATAATTATAGAATTGCTTAAAAAAATAAGACTAGCTCAGTAGGTGAGCAGCAGGTGGGGAGTCTTTTTTGTTTGCTTATTCCATAATTGTGAAAGCACTTTCAGTAAAGAGTCTTGGTCAGTGCTGAGTGATGAAGAATTTCTTGCCTCCTGTGTAATATCATTGCTATTACTTTCATGCCATTTTTATCGTAGTACTTTTGAGAGAACTAGTACTACCCAGTCTTTTACAGTTTTTGCCCTCTTTATGTTCTCCAGATGTGAAAAAGGTACTTTTTGTTGAAAATGCATTGAGATTTGACTGCTGTATTTGGTACACAGTACTACACACAGCTTTTTGAAGTTTATAGCTGGTATACCAATTTACTAAGGAGTGTTATTATCAGTGTACAATACAGTACTAATTAACAGACAGTTTCCAAAACGGATGTCTTCTCAACCTCCTGAGAGTATGCCAGCTAGGTATTTGAGTCTGTGCCATGGTGAGCATTGAGGTGTCAGTCTTAGAGGCCAGGAAGATCCCTGGTGCAGACTTGAGTCCAGCCAACTCCAGAAGTAGCCCACTGCCTCGGCTGTGACCTCTGTGACTGGGCCAGGATGAGAACATGTGTGCAGGCTTGAAAGCTGCTCTGATGGTTTAGGTATATATGAGAGGAGTCCGGGGGCTCCCTCCTTACTCAGCTTGACCTCTACCGGCCTGCTCTGTCTACTTTCCCCCCTGGCTACTCCCCCTCCCCCCCCTTCATCGGTCGTTATTCTCCCCTCCTCCTCTCTATTTCAGTCCCATCGTCTGTTGTTTCCCCACCATTCATTGTATCCTCCCTACTTAGAACCTTCGTACTTGTTCCTCTCTCTGCTCCACAGTCGCAGATGCCCATGGCTATAGGCTGTGACTCAAGGCCACCTTCCTGCAGAAGCCTTCCCTGGCCGCTGGGTCTTCAACACTGAAGTGTCCCCTTCACTTTATTTCTTTTCTTTTTTCTTTGCTTGCTTTCTTCTCAGTACTTATCACCAGCTAACAGACTATTATTTCACCCATTTATCTTTTTTTTTAAATTCTCTTGCTCTTTTTTTTTTTAACCACTATATTTCCAGTGTCCAGTGCAGACTAGGGATGTAATAAATCATTGGGTGAATTAATAATGTCAGATAAACCTGGCTCACTTCTTTTAAATTATATGTAGATTGCCTCTAAAGTAGTCTTTAAAAGTTAAGCAGAAAGTAGATGCCATTATGTATTTTGATTCAGCTCAGTGTCATAGTGCGCACGGAGGGGGAGTGACGCAAGACCTACCCTGGTACCAGAGGGAGTCTGAGGTGTCAGCGTGCGCATGTGCACAGATGCACGTTTGGTTCTTTGCTTAGTCAGCATGTTGTTGGCTTGTGAAGCGTTAAAAAGCATACATTAGTGGCCAGATTTTAAAATTAGGAATTACATAAAAATTTGTGTTCATGCACCTACTGAACAATTGAAGGATGTGACCAACACTGTAGGTCCACGTACCTGGAGCCCAGCAGTGTGGGTGGGTGTGACTCACAGGCTTGCCGTCCCCTGTCGTTTTCTTACCATCAAAGCCACACACTGGTGGCTAATTATCATTGTATTTAAGCTCTCGTTTTTCTTAGAGTGAGTTTAAAAGAATTAAGAATTTTCCTATACTCATAACTATACAAAAAGTGGAAATTACCAAGAAGGGAGGGAACCTTTTTCTTTGGGTAATTAAAGGATATTGTAATTTATTGTACACCTGGTTTACCATTTATATACTCACTTGGCTACTATTTGAGTAGGTATTTGAGTTTTTAGGCCCCTTGATGAGACATTGCATAAATGTTTTAAAGTAGATACAAGTCAGCATGTTTTAATTGAGCAAAAGCAAATTATAACCTACTGAAAGACTGGATTGATGGTCTGAACTATGTAAAATGTAGGGCTTGAGCTAGGCTGTGAAATAGGTATTTTTTAATTGCTAAAGAGAAGATTATAAGGAAGTTATTCTAGGTGGGAAGAATGTGTGGGGGCAGGTTTTTGCGACTAGCAAAACAAAGCTATTGGCAGTTTATGAGTTGAAAGGATACAGTGTGTTTTTTTAGTCATCCACATGCATCCGGTGTTGAGAGTGTAAAATATACGAAGCATAGTAATCAGTAATCATCCATTTTGCTCTTAATTTTACTTAGTTTTACTACTGTTTTGAAAGTTTCTGCTTTGGACATTGGTCAAATTCTATCTTCTAGGTTGATTATCAAATAAAGTGTAATGCAACAATAATGTCATTAATTAATACTACATCAATCTGCATGGACTTCAGTAATTGTAGGTTCTGTGGTGGTGTGTCACGGTTTGTGATATGTCACTGTACATTGGATTTGCTGGCCTCCACTGCCTCAGAATTCTGAGCTCTTTTGAAAATTTTAAAGAGTGATTCCCTGCCCTAAAAAAGTGTCTAGTCCAGCTGACTGCGTAACTCCAATACAGATGAACCTTCACTGAACAGAAGTAGTCATGGTGGACGTCTTGGGTTTCTGTGCCATTGGTCTGCTTATTTGCATTATAAAGGCTTCAGTAGAAGCCAACTAGTGCAGTTTGTATGATTTTGTATTCTTGTATTCAAGACAAGGGAATGCTTTTTTGAATCTTACTGCATTGTTTCTGTTTTGATTGATGTTCCAGGTTTTTTTGCCCACCTCCTTGTGTGTATCTTATGGGCAGTGGATGGAAGAAAAAAAAAGAACAAATGGAGCGGGATGGTTGTTCTGAACAAGAGTCTCAACCGTGTGCATTTATTGGAATAGGAAATAGTGACCAAGAAATGCAACAGCTGAACTTGGAAGGAAAGGTAAAGGAAGGCTCTGTCGATGTCCTCATAAAGGGCACCATAGAACCTCAGTGTAGTTTTCTTACGTGCATTTGTGGTGATGTTTTTTCTCTGCTATGGCTATTGGTAGCAATTTTTTGAATACATAAATCAGAACCAGAAATAAACTTTTCAAATGGCTTCTGTCTAGTCATGATTCATGGAGCTAAAGCTGTTGACATCTCACAGTGGTGCATAGTAAGCCTGCTGCAGCTTGCTAGCAGGAGCTAGCAGTTTTAACAGGCTGCGAATCAGATTACCATTGGCAGTAATAAATGGAGGAGGCTAATTGCTCACCTCACAAGAGTGCGATGCTCAAATAATGATAAATACATAGTTCAATAATATTTTACTCTCTTAATCTTGCTCTGATGCTAGAAGCAGAGTGGTACAGACATATTCTTAGGAGCATTTACCTGGGTTATGAAGACCCTAAATGTTCTCCCTAGCCTCTGTGTGGAGCAGAACTGTGCTGTAGGGAAGCACAGTCACAACTAACTTTACTCAAACCTTTAAGGGATTTTCTTTGATTGATTTTCTAGGGAATGAAATTTATGCATTAGTTTTATTAAGTGTATTTTATAAATTTAGAAAGCATTTATTTCAATCTGTACCTTTGTTATTCAAAAAGCTCTTTATCGACTTAACATTTAATTTGTTTCCCCTTGATATTAAAATTTGAGAAATGGTTAGTTCTGATCCCAGTGACTACATAAGTGTCTTTTAGAATAGCGCATAAAAAGCGATTTTCCATTCAGGACATCTTTGTTGAATGTCTTAGTGTTTCCTGTGTTACAGTCAACACTGGGGGTGGGACTGGAGGGCAGTATTTGAGAGTAGTGAGCTAGGGGACCTGGTCTCTTAATTTTACTGCTAATGAGCACTAAGAAGCCTTAATACCAACCTTTTTCAAATTTGAGTATTTTTTTAAAGATTTTATTTGTTCATTTCTAGAGAGGGGGAAAGTGGGGGAGAGAAACATTGACGTGTGGTTGCCTCTTTCCCGCCCCCAACCAGGGACCTGGCCCACAACCCAGGCAATGCGTCCTGACTGGGAATGGAACTAGCAACCTCTCAGTTCACAGACCAGCACTCAACCCACTGCTTCAACTTTTTGCTTCAACTTCTACTATTCTCTTTTTTCCCTAAGCCCTAGAAATTTGCAGAAGAGGAAAAAGAGTACCTAAGGTCTCAAGTGTTAATAGTGTTTTAAAAACCTATTAGGGTAGCACAATGCCTGTAAGCCAAAGTTATATGCTAATATATAGTTTGAATGAAAAATGCAACTAGAGCAATAAGCCTTCTTGACAGTCAGCAGATGGTATTCCAGATGGAAAGAACATAATCATGTGCTTGGGGCATAAAGGCCTAAGAACATGGTATGTTTGGGCCCAGGAAGGAAAGATGGCCCGAGCAGTAGGATGCTGAGCTTCAGAAAGAGACACTTGGCTTCTGTCTGTCTCACATAACCTCCATTCATTTAAGGTAATACTGTTTTGTTCAACAGTCTACTCATTGAATGGTACGATTTGTCATTATTGAAAAAAGAAGGGATATTTTACATTATTGGGTATTTGTATTTTATATTCATTACAACAGAGCTCTAGTATATGTGGCCTTTATTTTTATTTTTTTGAAAATTTTATTTATTTTTAGAAAGACGGAAAGAGAAAAAAAGGAGAGAAACATCACTGCATGGTTGCCTCTCATGTGCCCCCCACTGGGGACCTGGCCTGCAACCCAGGCATGTGCCCCAACTGGGAATGGAATCGGCTACCCTTTGGTTCACAGGCCTGCACTCAGTCCACTGAGCCATACCAGCCAGGGCTATATAGCCTTTTATTTTTAAAAAGGTCATGACATTTGACCATATTTTAGATCTGAGAGTTCATTTAATGATGTTATTAATTTGTTAAATATTTATTGCCTTAATTTCACATCTTGCATAGTTTGAGCTAGGTACGCTATACAACATATACAATAAATTACTTAATAGCATGCTTATGTTTTTCCTAACTTTAAAAATTATATTCTCCTATACCTCTCAGTACCTTTGTTTCGTTTCTATAATTCAAAATTTGTCATTTAAATACTTCCATAGACCTGGTTTCTTGGAGTTTCTCCCCCATCCCCCATTTCAGGGCAGATATTTGAGTCATTTTTAATTAAGTTAAACTGTTCATTATTTAGAGGAAAGTTTATTATTTGCCCTTTTCTAGAATTTTGTTACCTCTAAATTTAGCCTTTTGGTATGATGGAACAAACAGATGTAACTTTTGTTTTTATTTACACTTTCTTAAAGCCATAGTACTTTTTTGAGTCAGTGGCTTCTCTTTTTTTCTCTTAGGGAATTTAACTAGTTTGTAGTCAGTGGCCTTATATTTCTTTTCATAATAATAGTTCTAATAAAATTATCTCAGGTATGATTTTGTGTGTGTGTGTGTGTAGACTGAGACTGCCTACTTTGGTAATTAGCAATATATTTCCTTTCTTTCCAAGGAGACACATGTCTGTTTGCTTTTTCAAAACAAAATGAAGCCCTTTAATCTCTACGCTTTTTTCTTTTCCTGTTTGCCAGTCTGTCTTATCATTTTTGCTGAGTTTCATTATTTTCTCTTTTTTGAAACTGATCATATCTGTTAAGGTTAACACTCAAATTAATGATCTTAACATTAAAAATTTTCCCATTTGAATGTAATTGCCTTCATTTAGATACATATTTCATTTTTGTTCCCTGTGATTGCTTTAGTGTGTTGATACCTATTTTCCTAGGCTTTGTCTTATGTTGCAGAACAATTCTGTATGTCTGGGCATAATTTGACCATCAGTGCTTTTTAACATACCCAAGACTCCTGTCACAGTCCCTGTGAATGCTTGGAGATCCTTGGGTGAGAGGGTCTGTGTGAATGCAGAGTACTCTTGTTTTCATTTATTTTTTAGTACTATGATTAGCTCTATTTTATTTTGCTTTCTGCAGAACAAAGTCTCTCAAAACTTATACTTTGGGATTTTTTAAAACTTAATTGAGCATAAAATACTCAAGATGGCATCTAAATTTACTTATGTAATTTGCTATTGAGAAATAAAAGGAACTGTAGCATTATTTTTGTTCTACTAAAATTGCCTGTGAGTAAAATTTAAAGATTGAAGAGCGTATTAGCTTATTTCTTTTTTTAATTAATTTTTTTTATTGATTATGCCATTACAGTTGTTCTATTCCCCCCACATTCCCCTCCACCCTACCCCCCGTCCCCACCATTACCCCCCTTTAGTTTATGACCATGTGTCTCAAGTTCTTTAGATTTTATATTTCCCATACTATTTTTGCCCCCCCATCTATTTTCTATCTACTGTCTATGCTACTTATTTTCTGTACCTTCGCCCCCCTTCTCCTCCTCCCACTCCTCTGTTGCTAACCCTCCTTAAGATCTTCATTTGTGCCATTTGTCCAGCTTTTTAAAAGACACACTGAAGTAGTCAAAGCACCTTGTTTAGCCTAATTTTAAAGTAGAGAATTGATCTTTGAAAAAATATAATTCAGATACTTTAAATACTTAACCTGGGTTTGAGTATCTTTTACCCAGTCTGAGGAAAGAGATTAATAATTTGTTCCCCTAATTCACAGAGGTTGGGGGAAGAGGAAGGATCTTAGAATTCTCATATATACTTGAAATAGTAGCATTTTCAAGTGTTTTCACTGTTTTGCAAATGCTATAACCCTTTAATACTATATTTTTAATTACCAGAGTTTATTTTTTGGTAAACCGACATAATATTCTTGTTATGTTCAATTTTTTATTATCTCTTTTTTAAAGATTTTATTTATTTTTAGAAAGAGGTGAAAGGAAGGAGAAAGAGAAGGAGAGAAACATTAGTGTGCAGTTGCCTCTTGAGTTCCCCCTACTGGAGACTTGGACTGCAACCCAGGCATGTGCCCTGACTAGGAATGGAACCGGCAACCTGTTGGTTCTCAGGCCCATGCTCAATCCACTGAGCTATACCAGCCAGAGCCAGTATCTTTAAATTCAGTTCTTTTGTTGATACAATATGAATTATCCCACTGTGCAAGGTTAACAATTTTGAAAGAAGAGTCCTCTAAAATATACTCATACAGCCCTTTCTGGCTTAAGATAATTTATAATCATCCAGTTGGTACTGGCGTTCTTTTTCTTCTTAGTCTTATAGATAGGTGGGTTACTCTAGTGTTCACATGGTATGTACTGTTTTGGGAAGGACCACTGCTAAAATTTTTTACATAATTTCATTAAATTTTGATAGCCTTATTTGTATGTTTCTTTGTAGAAAGTCATAGGTTGTTTTAGCTATAAAATTCTATTTTTAAAAATTACTACTAATATCGATAATTCTGTGATACAGACATATGAGGGGGGAAATGGAATTATCTTCTGGAGGGAGGGCCCCTTGTAGTACAAGCTTTCCCCCGCTGGGTGAGTGTTCTAGGAACCCATCTGTATCCATGTGTGGCGTTGTTGTGAGAAGCTGCATTCGGCTTCAGTCAAAAAAAAATTTTTTTTAAGACTCTTTCATGGTGTTTGCCTATTTCATGATGTGATATACAAGTGCACCTGCCCACACCACACTGATTGTTCAGTTTTTGACCTCCCTGTTCACCCAGTCTCACCCCGAGCAACTTTTTTGTTTGTTTGTTTCTGGGGATGAAAAAGTCCTCAAAGGGAAACATTTTGCCAATGTGAAAAAGGCAAAACAAAAAAAAAAATGGCAGGAGCACTAAATAAAAGGCATCAAAATTGACGAGTTCAGAAACTGTTCTGAGCAGTGGGAAAAAACATATCAGCCTCAAGTGGAGAGTATTTTGAAGGTGACTGAAGTTTAAACATCTGAGAATAAATACACACTTTTTTATAAATAAATTTTATTTTTGGGGGGTGTCCCCCTCGTAGAGCAGTATAAAATAAAAGGGTATAAAAAGAAAAGGTAAAATGGTTCACAAAGTTAGTATTTTATAGACTTGATTAGGGAGACTATACTGTGTCTTCAGAGGTTAATTTCAGTAATTTTTATAATTGGTTTTATTCAGCTTCTCATTGAAATTATTGCATTTAAGCCTGATCATACCTAGTCGTGGCCATAGAGTTAGCTGTAGGTACATACAAGGTTTTGGTGATATTATATCTTTCTTTTTCTTTCACAGAACTATTGCACAGCCAAAACATTGTACATATCTGATTCAGACAAGAGAAAGCATTTCATGTTGTCTGTAAAGATGTTCTATGGCAACAGTGATGACATTGGTGTGTTCCTCAGCAAGCGGATAAAAGTCATCTCCAAACCATCCAAAAAGAAGCAGTCATTGAAAAATGCTGACTGTATGTATATTTCAGTTTTCTTTTTGTCCCCAACTCCCACCATGAGTTTAGATAAATCTAACTATTTTTAAGTGAAAAATTGCTTTTTGATAGCCAATTCTTTCTGTACTAATATTTTGTGGTCCTCACTTTATCTGAAAAATGTCACATTCATTAATTATTGCTGCTTTATTATCTTTTTTTTAATTGAAAATAGACAATTAATACCAGGTCTAAGGTGTGGTTCTCAACTAGTGTTCATTCCTCACAGCTCCCCAGGGGCATTTAGAAACATAGGAGGTTTTTTCCCCCCTTTTGCTGTCACAGTGATTGGAGGTAGTGATGTTAGCATTGATTGTCTTAGGCCAAAGTAGTCCCCATTCCACAAAGAATTGCTTTAGTGAGAATGTCAAAAGCACTGTTTTGAGAAACACTTGTTATATATCAAATGGGCTTTGGAAGACAGTCTTGAGAACATACACAAAATTTTTAACGTGGTTGCTGTGGCAGAGATTGCTGTTTCATCAGCAGATTTGTAGATTCTCAAAGATGAATGCTATCTGTTTGAATTAAACATTTCAACCCCCACTCCACCTGTTTTTCTTTTTTTATTTCACCTTTTTACTGTGGAAACTTTCAAACTTAGTAAAGGGGAGGAAGTAGGGTCAGGTGACCATCCACCAGCTGGAATATTTTCATGTATAGATATATCTCAGGCATTCTGTCCTTTCAACTACCATTTTTGTAGTAGTGACTTTCTGACAAATTTCTTTTTAAACATTGTTATACAGTAACAGAGTTGACAATTCTTTGATGTCATCTGAAAGGTAATCCATGTACATGCAGATTTATCACATTGTATCAGAAATAGTTTTACAGTTGTGTTTTTGTTGGTTTTTAACTACTGACTTACTCAAAACTGGATCCAAACAAGGACCATGCATTTTAATTGGTGTAGTTTCTTCTCTCCCCTTCTAGCCTTTTATTTCTTATCAGTTATTTGCTGAAAAAGAGGTCATTTTTTCCTGTGGAATTTACATAGTCTGGATCTGGCTGATTACGTGTTTCTCTCTCTTGTGTTTTACATAAACTGGTGATTAGACCTCAAGACTTTTATTTTAGATTTAGCTGGTCTTACATCTATTATTCCTTTTGAAGCACAAGTCATATAACATCTGATCACCCTACTTCTTGTCATGTTAAGATTGATCAAATCATGTTGTTAGCCCAATCCATCCATTATAAAGTTTCTGAGCAATCAGTGTAATGGTTGTAGTAGTGTAGTCATTGATGAGCAAATATTTCCTCCAGGGCAGCAAAGTGATTATTTTTCTAATTCTTTTATTAATAATTTCTGTATTTGTTAGCTTTTTGCTTCAAATACAGTAAAGACAAGATAAATGCTTATTTCCTAATTTGCAGAATAAAAATAATATTCTTTGAAAGTGACCAGTGAGGTTTTAGGACTTTTGTTTACTTGCTCTTATTTTGTTTTTGTTTTATTATGAACTTACAGGTTTTTATGTACTATTGGGTGGTTTTTAGTTCACTCAATCATTGTTGTTATGATTTATTTTACAAAAATGTTCAAACATGCTGAAGTAGACAATTACATAATGAAATAAAACCTGTGTTCTAACTTCAACAGTAATCTTTACTTTATTCTATACCCCTCTCACACTCCGACTTTTCTCTATCCTCATTTTAGTTTGATGCAAATCCAGAATATAATATTATCTGTAAATATTTCTCTCTGTGAAACATAGGGTCTCTTATTTTTTAATACAATCACAATAACATGATTACATGAAAACAAACATGTTATAAAGTAACTATAAAAAAATAAAATTCAAATATCTAGTCAGTGTGAAAAAAATTTTAATTGTCTGAAATGTCATCATTTAGCCCTTTGTTTGAATCAAAATTTAAATAAGGTCCATGTTTTGACATGTCCTTGAGTGTTTTTAATCTCTGGGTTCCCTTTCCATCCCTCTCCATCTCTCTCTCTCTCTCTCTCTCTCTCTCTCTCTCTCTCTCTCTCTCTCTGTTCTCTCCTTGTAATTAGCCATGGGAGCTTTCCACAGACTGGATTTTGCTAATTTCATTTCCTTTGTGCAGTTAAATGTATTTTCTGCAAATGGATGGTGCTAAAGAGAAAGAGAGCTTGACACTAGTTAAGGGTAGTGATAACAGATTTTATTCAGTGCTGTTGCAGCGGGAAAGAGACTTCAGTGAACCATTGAGCTCAATTCCAAATACAACAAGGACAAATGGGGATCTATAGGCAAGGAACAGAGTCCAGGATGGTGGGGCAGTAGATGGAAATTACTAAGAGGAGACACAAAGGGTGGCGGATCTTTGACAAACCAGTCTAACAGAATGCTTGCTAAGGGCAGGCCTAGGATATCAGATATAAAGGTTAGGGGAGGGGAAGTGAGGAACTCGATGAGATAAAAGAGTGGCAGGATGGTTTAAGCAGGATTCCTGCAGTAACTGGGCCAGTCACAGGGCCCGAGGAAGAGACCTAGTGGAAAGGGCCCGGAGCGGCCTGTGTAAAGTTTGGTCCAGGAAAGGACTTAGGTCAGCAGTCAGTTTAGAAGGCCAATCAGAGTTGAGTTTTTGTTCTTTGGTTCTTCTTTTGTTGCTGGAGGGCAAGGCTCTCCTTGTAGTGGCGAAGTGTTCTTGCTTCAGGAAGTATATGATGTCACTGAACACCAAATGGTGTTCAGGCCATTTCTAATTCAAATTACAGGATTTGATTTAACCTCTTCAGCTTTGTATTCCTATTGACCATACGTTTCTTGATGCCAGAGAACATATTTTACTTTCAGAATATCTCCTGTTTACATACATGAGGCTTTTTTTCAATTCATGCAATGCTATAGACTTAAAAGTACTTAAAAGAAGTCAGAATCTCTAAAAATCACAATATCCAGAGGCAGTTGTCATCAACTTTGGGAAACATCCTTGTACACACCTCCCTGTGAATGTGTTCCACGGGATTGGATATGAGCACATGGAGACACACATGCAGTTCCGGGAAAAAATATGTATACACACATTTACCTAGTGGAACCATACATGCCAAGTATTTTATAGTCTGCTTTTCCATTCATTGATATTCCAGGAAGATAACTATTATCAGTGCATTTAGATACACTATTTAGATAGGTAATAGATACTGTGATTTATTTAATCCATTTCCACTGTTGGACATTCATTATTTTAAAACAACATCCCTGTAATGAACAGCACTGCATTGAACGTGCTGTGGGTTTTCATTTAAACATTATTCTTACGGGCATATTTTCTGTCTTTACCTTGACTTGGGGGGAGGGGTATCGTCTGTATTCTTTGGAGGGTTAAAAATGTGTCCAAAGAATGTTAAAGTATAATATTAATTTAAAATAATATAAATATTAAATTATAATGAAGAACAGTCTAACTTGCCAGGTACCGGGCCCTTATTTCTCCACCCTCCCTCCAGTCACGTAAACAGGGGCTGTTTTTTCTCTGCAGTATGCATTGCCTCTGGAACAAAGGTTGCTCTGTTTAATCGACTCCGATCCCAGACAGTCAGTACCAGATACTTGCATGTAGAAGGAGGTAATTTCCATGCCAGTTCTCAGCAGTGGGGAGCATTTTACATTCATCTCTGTGAGTATAAAAACGTGCATTTGATGTTACTTATGTGAAATTGTTAAATTCTTTTTGATAACAAGATGTGTGGATACGTTAAGTTTTGTGGTTTCCCTGAGCAGATTGGTGACTTTGAAAAGATAATTTGATCCCTTTTTTCACTCTACCGCAGTGGATGATGATGAGTCAGAAGGAGAAGAATTCACGGTTCGGGATGGCTATATCCACTATGGACAGACAGTCAAACTCGTGTGCTCAGTCACTGGCATGGCGCTCCCGCGACTGGTATGGCTCCACTTTTGCTTTAGTAATATGTATAATAAAAATAAGAAAATAGAAAAGCCGCAGCATTCAAGTGAAAAATATACCTGAAGCTCATACTTCTCATTTTAAAAAGAGATATCAATAATCACTGCTATTTATAATTGGCAGGTATACCCGATTTTATGTTTAAAGTGCTTTAAGGCAATTAGCCAATTTTTATGAATGGATTCTTCTTTTTCTTTTTCTTTCAAATTATAACAATGTATATTTAGAAAGTCAGAGAGGTAGAAAAGGTGAGTCAGCTGGGCCGCAAGTGCTTGGGAAACCAGTCACAGAGGTGGAAGAGGGGCTTTTGAGCTTAGAAAAAAGAAAGGCAGAGAGAACATCCGGAGGCGAGGAAAGGTGCAGGCCTGATCCAGAGTGAGGAAGGCCACCAAGAATGACTTCTTGATGACTTCCTCTTACCCTATCTCCAGTAAGTTTTTGGTGGTTATTTTTTTCCTTTTTGGTTGTATATCTGAACTTGTTCGATAGAGGACACTATAAAATTATACTGTGATTCCTTTTTCTCCCCCCCCCCCCCCGGATTTTATTTATTCATTTTAAGAGACAGGAGAAGAGAGGGAGAGAAACACCAATGTGTGGTTGCTCCTGCTCGCTCCCCACTGGGGACCTGGCCTGCAACCCAGACTGTGCCCTGACTGGAAATCGAACCCATGAACCTTTGGTTCCCAGGCTGGTTCTCAGTCCTCTGAGCCACACCAGACAGGGCACATGGTGATTTCTTAATGTAGACAACACTGTATTCATTTTTTGTTGTACCTGCTGCATAACATAGGACCAGATTTTCAAAAACAAATTCATACTTCTTTAGGAATATAAGTATAATTTTTACCCATTTACTCACAAAAAGAAAGATTTATTAAAAATAAAATTGATATTTCTTACTCTGGGAGGAAGGCATATTAAGCTTTTTGTTACGAGGGAGATCATGAAACTGTAAAAACTGCTTTTCTTACCAAAATGAAAGCAAAGGCGCCTTATACTCCCTCCCACATACCCTCGTTTTCTGAAACAGACTGCAGCTATAGCAAAGATGGAAGGGACTTCCGAGTAAATTGGATTCATGGTCCGGTTCTGGGGTTGGGTGAATGGAAGAACTTTTAGTATTACTGTTCCCGAATATGCTTTATATTTATCTCTGGGGAAATATTGCATTGGTTTATATTTTGGGGGGATATTTCAGCAGGGCTGGGTCTATACTTAATCTAAGTAAATGCTACATTTCTTTTTGTTGTTTTATAAAAATTTTTCTATGTTATGGTTTTACTAGGTGTTTTTATTTCCCATTCCAACTTAATAAGCTAAAAGAAGTATTAATATTAATTTATAAAACCTTAAAACCGAGGCAAATTATAATAAAAAGGGTAAAGGTGGGGAGAGAAGGATGTAAAAAACTGGAAAGACACAGACGAAAAACCAAACCAAGTAAACATTTACGGAAGTTTCTTTCATTTACTGTGTGTCACTCTAGTTCAAGGGTAATGTTTATTTGCTTCGTCATTTAAATGCCAAATGATGCATTTAGTTAGACAAGTGATAGTGGACGTTCTTGGCTTCTTTATTGGTGAGAGCCAACTTATTCAGCAGTGTCCGTATTCAGAGAGTTAGTGTGGGGAACAAGACTGAACCAATGTGGCCCATGTCCTCACTGTGCTTGTTAGTACCGGCTGGCACGGAAACAGCGCAGCACACCGACAACAGTGCTGCAGACGGGTCCCCACTCCTGCCTGGTGGGAGGTGCAGGAGTGAGGGCCAGGAGACTGACAGGGAGCTTTAGACTTAACATCATTCAAAACTCAGTTCTTTAAAATCCTCGTTCAATTTAAATACAGCTTTAAGACTTTAATGTTGAATTGAAACATTTTGCTTAAGTTTATTTAATCTTCTGAACTTGGAAGCTTTAATTATTAAAAATGTATTGATTCTTATAATCTCAAAAATTACTGGTAGTGTAAGTAGAATGACAAATATTCTGACTAATAAACTGCAAAGCTAAAAATGTAACATGAAGAATGTTAACTTAAAGGTTGGGACTTTTTAATAGTTGTGGCTTAGCTGAAGAGAAATTTTTTAATGTAAGTGATGTGTGAATCAAGTGATGAAAGTCACCCTGGCTGGTGTGGCTCTGTGGATTGAACGCTGGCCTGCAAACAAAAGGGTCAACAGTTCGATTCCCAGTCAGGGCATGTGCCTAGGTTGTGGGCCAGGCCCCTGGTAGAGGGCACATAAGGGGCAGCCACACAGTGATATTTCTCTCCCTCTCTTTCTCCTTCCCCTCTGTCTAAAAAATAAAATATTTTAAAAAATGATGAAAGTCTATAGTATCACATAATATTAATGGCACTGTTCTAACTAGTTATACATATACTGATTCATTTAACACAAAACTCTTTGAGAAGTTCACTGTGCAGAGAAGTATTAGACTCCTATATGCAGACATGCATTATACAAATAATCCTGGACCTTCTTTGTGCCAGGTGAGCAAGACAGACTTCCTGGCCTCATGGAGCTTGCATTTTGATAGGGAGATAGAAAAAAAAAATCAGCTAAAGAAATACCCAAGTAATGTACTAAAAGGTTAATGTAAGTAACATAAAGGCAGATTTTAAAAGGATAAAGGGCTAGAAATTGGGAAAGTGTTTTAGAGTAATCAGAGAAGTCTTTTTGAAATGGGGATATTCGACCAGAGACCAGTAATAAGTTGGGAACCCACAAACTGGCAGGGGCATTTCAGGCAGACAGAACCCAGGCGAAAGGAACCTAAGAAGCCAGGAATGTGTGAGGACCAGTAAGGGAGCTGTTGCGGCTAGAGCGGAAGAGGGATGGAGGCAGCCCGCTCCAGGAAACGAGGCTCTGAGGGGAGCCACAGGCAGTGCCTTGTCAGTTCTTCTCTGTATCCAGTGGAAGGACTTTATGTTATTTGTGTACGAGAGGAGGCCACCGGAGAGTTGGGAGGGGGAATGGTGGCTGCTTCAGGTACAGAAGGTTAATTCTGGTTGCTCGGTGGAGGGAGCATAGGGGTATAACGGTGGAAACGGAGATGCAGGTGGGTGGGCCTTTGTCGCGACTCAGATGGGAGTTGATGATGGAGCGCCTTGGACTGGGATTGTAATGCTCAGGTGATGAGCGGTGGCTGATTCATTTGAAAGTAGACCTAACAGAATTGGTTGGCAGATCGGATGACTGGGTGTGAGAGAAAACAAGGAGTCAAGTATGACTTCGGGGTTTTTGCATTGAGTGAATGGTGGTGCTATTTATTGAGCTGGGGGTTTGGGGAGATTTATGTTTAGAAGAAAATAAAAAATTCTGGTTTTGATTAAGATTGAGATAGCCTACTAGGCATCTTAAGCAGAACTGTTAACTAGGTAGTTAAATATACAAGTTGAGTGCTGGAGAGAGACTAGGGCTGGAGATGTAAATTTAGGAGTTGCCAGTCTCAAAATAGTTTAGGCACTGAAGTATGGGGAGGGGAGCGAGGGTGTGAGGACTCTGCTCTGGGGCCCTGCACCGGCCAGTTAGAGCAGCGGCCTCATAAAGGAGACTGTCGGCATCCAGTGCTTCTGGGAGCGCTAGTAAGATGTGCCCCTTGGGATTTGTGGCTGGAGTGCTCCGCAGCCTTGACATGAGCCATTAGAGTGGAGACTTCAAGACAGTAGTCTGGAAGGGTTTCAGGGGGTTGGGTGCTGAGGAAAGAGTTTTCTATAATGAGGAAAAGCGAAAGGGGGTAGTGAGAGGGGTGCACAGGGACATGTAGGTCAAGGAAGGACTTACTTTTGATTTTAAATGAGAAATAGTTCTGACCTGCCTGTGCTGTTGAGAGTGATCTTCATAATCATCAGGCACTTAGTGATTCCTTCTACGTGACAAGCGACAGCTAAGGTTTGATAGGTTCCAGATATCCAAAAGTGTTTTGTGGTGTGTTTGGACTATAATCTTGTGGAGCATAATGGAAAGAGTCCAGACTGGACAGACAGGCAGCCCTGGAATCACATTATGATTCTTCAGCTACTAAGCAGGTGATTTGAGGAACTTACTTGACCTTTCCGAGCCCATTTCTAATCTGTAAAAGGGTAAATATATATATATTTATATATATATATATATATATATTAGATACTATACTGACTACTACACCCACAGAGCCTTTACAAGTCGTTTTTTCTTTGATAGTAGACCATATTTTACTTTATTGATTTTCATTTTTTTATCATTGCACTTTATTGGAAAGGTCAGAGAACCCTAGATGAATGGCACGCCTGTTAAAGTTTGAAAAGCGATGGTCTAGGAAATAGGTGCCTGCCCTGCATTTTAGGTGTGCGTGGAAGAAGGTGACAGGCTAGGGGTCTGAAAGTGTTTTTTATACCTGCCTTGCTGTGTGTAAATGTGTGACTGGGTTTGTGACAAATAACAGAGTATTATCATGTGGCTTATTCTCTCTGGGTACGCTGGAAAGTACACCTAATGAAAACTCTCCATGTGCGATGACTTTTTCCTCTTCGATTGTTGAAATACAGATAATTAGAAAAGTCGATAAGCAGACTGCATTACTGGATGCCGACGATCCTGTGTCACAACTCCATAAATGTGCATTTTACCTTAAGGATACAGAAAGAATGTACTTGTGCCTTTCTCAAGAAAGAATAATCCAGTTTCAGGTAAGTTTTTAAATTACCAGCGAAATCTAAAATGTATGTTAGGTTAATGGCATGCACAAACATGAAACTCTTGTTTAATGTTAATTGTATCTAAATATATGAGGTTGTGTTCAGATATTTATCTCAAGTCCAAGGGTCCTTAACCCACATAGTGTTCCGACGTGGTGGTCATCCTACCTTAGGAAATAACTCAGAACTCTTGGAAATGTTCTCAGAGAAACAATTAGCATCCAGTTCTGGGGGACACAGAGCCATGCAGATTGTCCAGAAGCAGGCGTTGGGTGTTCAGTGCATCCCTGAAGTTTTGTGCACACTCCGTGTATGGGCACATGCATGTTTAGGGGGAGGGTCCCTCATTCTCATCAGCTTTATATTGGGGTGTCCAGGATAGTAATGACACATTTCAAGAGCTAATTTTTTACTACCTTTACTCAGAAGTCTTTTGTGAGGGCATTTATGACGTGGGCAACTTACTTATTAATAGGAGAGACTTTCACCTGAAACGTGTTTGTAAGCATCTGGAGACCTGCCTCAGAGATATGGCCACACACAGCTGTCTCCGCAGCCTGGCATTGATGGGCTGGTCTAGGGGTTTAAGGTAGAGGTGGGGGGATTGTTTGTTCACATCTTGGTCGCTTGTGCAGAAAGAGTTTTAAACAGTGAGTTATATCACAGGTACTGACCTTTTATGTTTTTATTTATTTGGGGGGGTGGTAAATCTCTTTCTTTCGTTTCTAAGAAGTCAAGCTCCAGCTTGAAGAGAAACTTTTGCCTTTACCCTTGGATTAAATTTTTCCAGTAAATGGATTCTTCTTCAGGATCATATAACAATTGCTTATTGAATAGCAACATGACAAGACCACAGTTGTAGAAAAATTGCAGCAAAACAGTAAAGAGGAGCAAACTGAGGGAAGCCCTTGGTGTCAGGGTGACTCATGGAAGAGACAGTCCGACAGAGCCTAGCAGGGAATAAAACCTTTGCCGTCTGCCATTTGTAACAGAGAAGGAGGAGGTGACCTGACACAGGGCGGGAGGGAAGAACTGGAACGGAATCCCGTTTTAGTTCCAGACTGAGAGCTGTGTAGCATTTAAAAATAGTCCTAAAGTAACTTTTACCTGCAAAATCATAACCTTAAGAATCTATTTCCAAGAATAAAACACTAACTCAGCTTTAATGAATGAGGGAGACAGTATATTGATGAAAGTTGCAAAGCTATCAGGATCCTTCTTGGTGTCCTTTTGATATTGCTTAATCCGTTGTGACATACAGACAAGGTGGTTATTTGCTGCAGTCCCATTTGGTTTTCTTTTGTTGCTTGTGCTTTTGGTGTCATATCCAAAAAATTATTGCTGTGAGCTTTTTCCTCTATATTTCTTCTAGGACTTTTATAGTTGTAGGTTTTACATTGAAGTCTTTAATACCTTTTGAGATAATTTTTGTGAGTGATATAATATAGGGGTTCAATTTTATTATTATTATTTTTTTTTTTTTTAACTGTTCAAGTACAGTTTTCTTCCTTTCCCCGCACCCGTTGTTTCCCCACCTCTCTCCCGTTTCCACCCCCTTGTTATTGTCTGTGTCCTTTATACTTATTCCTGAAAACCCTTTACCCTTTTCCCTCATTATCGCCCCCTGTCTGGTTCCTGTCCGCCTGTTCTCAATTTCAGTGTCTTTGACTGTGCTTTGCTTGCTTTTTGTTTTGTTGATTAAGTTCCTGTTAAAGGTAAGATCATATGGTATTTGTCTTTCACCGCCTGGCTTATTTCACTTAGCATAATGCTCTCTAGTTCCATCCATGCTGTTGCAAAGGGTAGAAGCTCCTTCTTTCTTTATGCTGCATAGAATTCCATTATGTAAATGTACCATAGTTTTTTGATCCATTTATTTACTGATGGTCACCTAGGTTGCTTCCAGAATGTGGCTATTATAAATTGTGTTGCTATAAACATTGGGGTGCATAGGTTCTTTTGGATTGGTGTTTCAGGGTTCTTAGGATATAATTCTAGCAATGGAATTACAAGGCAGTTCCATTTTTAGTTTCCTGAGAAAATTCCATACTGTTTTTTTTTTAATATTTTATTTATTTATCTTTTAGAGGGGAAGGGAAGGAGAGAGGGAGAGAAACATCAATGCATGGTTGCCTCTTGTGAGTCCCCTGCCGGGAACTGGCCTGCAACCCAGGCATGTGCCCTGACCGGAAATCGAACTGCGATTGTGTGGTTCACAGGCCTGTGCTCAATCCACTGAGCTACACCAGCCAGGGCTCCATACTGTTTTTCATAGTGGTTGCACCAGTCTGAAACCCACCAACAGTGCACTAGGGTTCCCTTTTGTCTTTGCAGCCCACCAACAGTGTACTAGGGTTCCCTTTTCTCCACAACCTCTCCAACATTTGTTGTTTGTTGCTTTGTTTATGATGGCCATTCTGACTAGTGTGAAATGGTATCTCATTGTGGTTTTAATTTGCATCTCTCTGATGGCTAGTGATACTGAGCATCTTTTCATATGTCTCTGGACCCTCCGTATGTCCTCTTTGGAGAAGTGTCTGTTCAAGTCCTTTGCCCATTTTTTAATTGGGTTGCTTGTCTTCTTAGAGTAGATTTGTGTGAATTATTTGTATATTTTGGAGACCAAACCATTGTCTGAGCTATCATTGGCAAATATGTTTTCCCATACAGTTGGTTCTCTTTTCATTTTAATACTGTTTTCTGCCATGAGAAGCTTTTTATTTTGATGAGATCCCATTCGTTTATTTTTTCCTTTATGTCCCTTGCTCTAGGGGACATGTCAGTGGAAATATTGCTCCATGAAATATCTGAGATTTTCCTGCCTGTGTTCTCCTCTAGGACTTTAATGGTGTCATGACTTATATTTAAATCTTATCCAGGTTGAATTTATTTTTGTATATGGTGCTCAAGTTTCTTTCTTTTTTTTTTGCATGTAGCTGTCCAGCTCTCTGAATATCATTTGTTGAAGAGGCTGTTTTTGCTCCATTTATGCTGCTGCCTCCTTTGTCTGATATTAATTGACTGTAGAGACTTGGGTTTATTTCTGGGCTCTGTTTTGTTCCATTGGTCCATGTGTTCGTTCTTATGCCATGTTTTCATTACAGTGGCCTTGTAATACATTTTGATATCAGGTATTGTGATCACTCTCACTTTGCTCTTTTTTCTCAAAATTGCTGCAGGTATTCGGGGTTGTTTATGGTTCCGCATAAATTTTTGAAGTGTTTGTTCTATACCTGTGAAATATGCCATTGGTACTTTAATAGGTATTGCATTGACTCCATAAATTGCTTTGGGTAGTGTGGGCATTTTGATGATGTTAATTCTTCTGATCCGTGAACATGGTATATGTTTCCATTTGTTTGTGTCTTCCTTAATTTTTTTCTTCATTGTTATGTAGCTTTCTGAGTACAGGTCTTTTACCTCCTTGGTTAGGTTTATTCCTAGGTATTTTATTTCTATTTTTGTTATATCAAACAGGATTTTTCTCCTGATTGATGTTTCTGATGTTTCATTGTTGGTATACAAAAATGCCTTTGATTTCTGAATATTGACTTTGTCTGGATGTTTTGCCAAATCCATTTATTAGGTCAAGCAGTTTTGGGGTAGAGTGTATAGGATTTTCCATGTACACTATCATGTCATCTACAAACAATACCAGTTTTGTTTTCTCTTTTCCAATTTGGATACCTTTTATTTCTTTTTCTTGTCCAATTGCTGTGGCTAGGACTTCCAATACTATGTTGAATAGAAGTGGTGAAAGTGGGCAACCTTGTCTTATTCATGATCTTAGTGGAAAAGTTTTTAGTTTTTGCCCATTGAGTATGATGTTGGCTGTAGGTCTCTCATATATGGCCTTTATTATGTTGGGGAATGCTTTCTCTATTCCCACTTTGCTGAGTGTTTTTATCATAAATGGGTGCTGTACCTTATCACTTTTTCCACATCTATTGATATCATCATGTGATTTTTGTCTTTGCTTTTGTTTATGTGATGTATTACATTTATTGATTTGCAAATACTGTACCATCCTTGCATCCCTGGGATGAATCCCACTTGGTCATGGTTTATGATCTTTTTAATGTATTGCTGGATGTGGTTTACCAGTATTTTGTTGAGGATTTTAGTGTCTATATTCATCAACGATATTGTCCTGAAGTTCTCTTTCTTTGTTGTGTCTTTATCTGGTTTTGGGATTAGGATGATGCTGGCTTCAGAAAAAGAGTTTGAAGTGTTCCATCTTCTTGGAGTTTTTTAAATAGTCTGTGAAGGATAGGAGTTAGCTCTTCCTTAAATGTTTTTTAGAATTCTCCTGTGAAACCATCTGGTCCAGGGCTTTTGTGTGACGGGAGTTTTTTGTTTACTGCTTCAATTTCATCTGCTGTTATTGGTCTGTTCAGGTGCTCTGCTTCTTCCTCAAAATTTAGAAGATGATGTTTTTTTAGAAATTTGTCCACTTCATCTGGGTTTTCAAATTTCTTAACATATAGTTCTTCGTAGTAATTTCTTAAAGTCCTTTGTATTTCTGTGGTGTCAGTTGTAATCTCTCCTCTTTCATTTCTGATTGTGTTTATTTGGGTCCTCTCTCTTCTTTTCTTGATGAGCCTGCTTAAAGGCTTGTCGATTTTGTTTTATCTTTTCAAAGAACCACTCCTGGATTTATTGATCCTTAGAATTGTGCTTTTAGTCTCCATATTGTTTAATTCTGCTCTGATCTTGGTTATTTCCTTCCTTCTACTTGCTCTGGGCTTTGTTATTCTTTGAGTTCTTGTAGGTGTAGGATTAGGTTGTTTATTTGAAATGTTCTACTTTTTTTTAGGTAGGCCTGTATTGCTATGAATTTCCCTCTCGGGAATGCCTTTGCAGTGGCCCATAAATTTGGGGTTGTTGTGAGTTCATTTTCATTTGCTTCCAGAAACTTTTTGATTTCCTCCCTGATCTCCTTGACTGACCCATTCATTGTTTAATAGCATGCTATTCAGTCTCCATGAGTTTGAGTGTTTTTGAGTTTTTTCCTTGAAGTGGTTTCTAGTTTCAGTCCCTTCTGGTTAGAGAAAATGCTTGATATGATTTCAATTTTCTTGAATTTGTTGAGGCTTTTTTGTGACCTATCATGTGGTCTGTCTTTGAAACTGTTCCATGTGCATTTGAAAAGAATGTATATTTTTGCTTCTTTGGGATGAAAGGCTCTGTATATATCAGTTAAGTCCATTTCATCTAGGGCATTGTTCAGTGCTACAGTATCTTTATTGATATTTTCTTGGGAGATCTATCCATTTTTAACAGTGGAGTGTTGAAGTCCCCTGCTATAATTGTGTTGCTATCAATATCTTTCTTGAAGTCCTCCAAAATTTTCTGTATGTATTTGGGTGCTCCTATGTTGGGTGCATATATATTTACAATGTTTCTGTCTTCTTGATGGATTCTTCCCTTGAGTATTATGAAGTGATATTCTGGGTCTCTCTTTATGACCCTTTTTTTGAAGTCTATTTTGTCTGATATGAGTATTACTACTCCAGCTTTTTTTTTTTCCCTGTCCATTTGCTTGGAAAATTTGTTTCCAGCCTTTCACTTTTAGTCTGTGTAGGTGTTTTGTTCTGACGTGGGTCTTCTGTAGGCAGCATATGTGTGGGTCATGCTTTCTTATCCATTCAGCTATTCTGTGTCTTTTGATTGAAACATTTAATCCATTTACATTTAAGATTATTATTGAGAGGTACTTATTCATTGCCATTTTTTTTAACCTGTGTTCCTCTCTGTCTCTCTTTTCCTTCCTTTTTTTAAAGCAGTCCCTTTTGCATCTCTTGCAGAGCTGGTTTGGTGGAGGTGCATTCTTTTAGACTTCTTTTGTCTGGGAAGCTCCTTATTTGGCCTTCTGTCTTGATTGAGAGCCTTGCTGGGTAAAGTAGCCTTGAATGCAGGCCTCTGGTTCTCATTACTTGGAATATTTCTTGCCATTCTCCTCTTGGAGCGTTTCCATTGAGAAGTCAGCTGCTAGCTTTATCAAGGCTCCCTTGTATGTTACTTCCTGTTTCTCCCTTGCTGCCTTTAAGATTCTGTTTTTGTCTTCGGGTATTGCCATTTTATTTATGATGTGTCTTGAAGTGGGTCTCTTTGGTTCCTCTTGATTGGGACTCTCTGTGTTTCCTGGATTTGTGTGACTTTTTCTCTTATCAAATTAGGGAAGTGTTCCAGCATTATTTTTTCAAACAGGTTTTCATAAAGATTTTATTTATTTATTTTTAGAGAGAGGGAAAGGGAGGGAGAAAGAGAGGGAGAAAAACATCAATGCATGGTTGCCTCTCATGCTACCCTCACTGGGGACCTGGCCCGCAACCAAAGTGTGTGCCCTGACTGAGAATCAAACCAGTGACCCTTTGGTTCTCAGCCGGTGCTCAGTCCACTGAGCTACACCAGCCAGGACTCAAACAGTTTTCTATCCCTTGCTCTTCTTCTCCTTCTGTTATCCCTATTATATGGATATTGTTACATTTCCTGTTGTCTTGCAGCTCCCTTACCATCTGTTCATTCTTTCTGAGTCTCTTTTCTTTCTCTTGCTCTGAGTTTTTTCTACCTTGTCCTCCGACTCGCTGATTCGGTCCTCTGCTTCATCCAGCCTGCTCATAGTTCCTTCTAATGTGTTTTTTCTTTCTTACATTTTATTGTTCATTTCTTCCTGGGTTTTGTTTATAGTTTGTTTCCTTTTTTATGCTGATGTAGTTCTCACTCAATTCCTTGTATTTGTCTGTGAGTTCCTTGGGCATCTTTGTAACCATTCATTTGAATTCTGTATCTGATAGTTTGGTTACCTCCATTTGGTTTAGATCTTGGAGTGGGGAGTCTTCCATTCCTTTTGATTGCATGTTTTTTGTTTTTTTTTTGTCTCCCCATTTTAGGTGACTTCTTGTTTGTTTCTGTGCTTCCTGATGTTTTGCTTTTTTAGCTGTCTCTGTAGTGTGAACTTCTGTGGTAGGAATCCTGTGAGGTTCGGTGGTATGGTGTCTGACCTCCTTGTCTGGACTCTCTAGATTTGCCCTTTCTTCTGATTGTGTGAGCTCTGTCATTGTACTTGGGCTTTTACCTTTTGGTGGTTCCTCTGTTGGTGGTTTTTCTGCTCCAGCAGGTATCTTTTTATTTAAAAAATGAAACAGGCACTGGTGTACTCCACAGTGGTTATTCTGAAGGGTTATCGGTTATTTAACATGTCACCGAAATGTCTCATATTATAATAAAAACTGTATGTCGGATTTTCATGTTAATATTCTGTTTGTGTTTAGGGGTTGGCAAAGCACCATGCTTGGGAAGTGTATACATTTTTACTACATTCTTTCCATGTTATAACTGTAGTCTGTATATGTTACTTGTTAAAATTGTCTTATACTGCAATGCATATAAGAATTTCTAAACTTTCTTTATAAGGCCACTCCATGCCCAAAGGAACCAAACAAAGAGATGATAAACGATGGAGCCTCCTGGACAATCATCAGCACGGATAAGGCGGAGTATACGTTCTACGAGGGGATGGGCCCCGTCCTCGCCCCCGTCACACCTGTGCCTGTTGTAGAAAGTCTTCAGGTGAGGCCGCCTACTGCCAGGCTGACTCTTCCACTTCTCTCGGCTGTGACTTAGCATACTTTTATTTCACAATAATTTTGATTTTTCTCCACATATTTTGGTTTGGGTATTTTGTCATATGTTATTTGTCAATAGAAAAAAATGAGACCCTACTTTTATGCCAGAAAATTTAAATTCAAAACCAAATTGTATGTTATCTTGATATTTTAGCTCACTTTATCTTTATAATCATGTCATTTAAAAAGAAGCATTTTAATTATTCATTTTTCACAAGTGATAACTATCGAGAAGCTCATCTGTGTACTTTAATGAGAAATGAAAAGTTTTCTCAATGCTATTATTTTTCTATGAATTTCAGTTGAATGGCGGTGGGGACGTAGCAATGCTTGAACTTACAGGACAGAATTTCACTCCAAATTTACGAGTGTGGTTTGGGGATGTAGAAGCTGAAACTATGTACAGGTACTTGGTAAAATTTTTTACATCATCTGGAGTTTTTGGTGGGGGTGGGTATAAGAGACTCTTTCCTGATGCTGATTGTAGTATATTAAGCAACCTAGTTTTAAGTTTCAGTTCTGAAATTTGCTTTGTACTTAAGTGACCTGCGTTTCCTCCGCAGATGTGGAGAGAGTATGCTCTGTGTGGTCCCAGACATTTCTGCATTCCGAGAAGGCTGGCGATGGGTCCGGCAGCCAGTCCAGGTTCCAGTAACTTTGGTCCGAAATGACGGGATCATTTATTCCACGAGCCTTACCTTCACCTACACGCCAGAGCCAGGGCCTCGGCCGCACTGCAGTGCAGCGGGAGCGATCCTTCGAGCCAACTCGAGCCAAGTGCCCCCTAATGAGTCAAACACAAACAGCGAGGGGAGTTACACAAGTGTCAGCACAAATTCAACCAATGTCACATCATCTACAGCGACAGTGGTGTCCTAACCACCGTCTTGTTACTGGGACTTAAACTAACTTTGCAACAAAACGTTGACAGAAAAAGGAAGCAAAAGAGAGAAAAGTGAACAATCTTTTGTGGTTTCTTGGGAAAACTTTTCATACCAGGTGATATTATTCAAAAACCCATTACCTGCAAGTGCTGATTTGATGTGCGGAAGCCACAGTAAAACAAACAAATCAACACATATAAACTATTGGAAATCAGTTTTTTTTCAGCTGTTATTTTTGATTGGTTTTCGTTTGGTTTTGTCTAAATGGGCAAGAAATAGATGTGGCTGGAATAAAAGTTAAACTAGAAGACACAAATCTAACATAGTTTTTATGGACCAAGGAACTTGTGTAAGCTTTAGTAAAAGGTACATTTTCACCATACCTTTTTTGTATCACCGTATATAGTGCACCTTTGTTACCAAATAGGTCGCTCCTCGCCAGCGCCCGTGGAGCTTCTGCTCTCAAGTGCATCAGGTTCCAAGCCTGGCTGCGCCCCTTCAGTCTCCTTACCGTGCTCTTCCCGGTTTTTTGGGGTTTTTTGGTCTAAGGCTGGAACTGGTCCGTTTTTTTTTTGTTTTTTTTTTTTAATAGCTGAAGTCTTATGACTTTTCATGAGTTGAAATCGTTTTGATTTCAGCAAGTTAAATCTTGTAAAGTCCTACATATTTTTTTAAGATTATATGAAGTCTGTGCAAAAGCTTTAAAAAAAATGCCTCTGCCTTGCCTGCAATACATGCAATGTATGTTAACTTAGTCTCTCTTCTCAGACATTTGGCAATTATTTCCATGTTTTCTTTTTAGAAACATGTATTTATAGTGGTGATCCAGGTGGCGCTAACATTTACGTGGAATTAAATGTGGCCGTTTAGCCATTAACGAGGTAGTGGCACAGAACACGTTGGTCTTTGAAGTCACCTCTCCCCTTTCCCCGCGCACAAATGTGTCTCCGTGTTTCAGGATTTGTTAAGGATTTTTTCCCCTCCTAATCTTGTACATAACTTGTATTATGTGTAAGTTAAACATTTTATTTTGAACTTGTTAATGTTCCCCGTGATTTTATTCAGTAGGGTGTTTTCTGCCTTGTTGGCAAATGACAAAAGAAAAATCATAGAAGTATTTGCTACCAGTTGGTAGATGGTGCCCTTATTGTATAATGAGGAAAATGTCAGCAAAAGCATGTATTTACTTTTTTTTTTTTTTTTTTGGTAGCCTAGGCCAAGACGTCATTGTAACCTTAAAACAAGATGCTCTTATTAGATGGTCAACTAAAATAGCTGGAAGACAGTACTTTAGAAGCAGATAGTTGTGAGATTATAAAAATGCAAATGTAACTTATCTTTCCATTACTTTCTCTTCCTGGGGGGGGGTCTTCTTCAGTACTGAGCATCTCCACAAATGTCTCCTACTCAAAACATTTCTTTGCCTTTCCTTTAAGACTTGGTTGCATGCAGGGTTGTGTGTTGACCTTGCGTGCTCAGCTCCCCCCTTTTACATGGCTTCCGTTTCTGCACTGTGGCGATGCCTTTGTTCAGCTTCTTAGAAATTGCAGCGGACTCACTGGACTACAGTTAGTGCAGGAACCGAGTGTGTGTGATTCTGTTGCAGTTGTCCTTCTTAGAGGAAAAACTACCTCTAGATCGTGGTAAGCTTTTCACTCTCCCATAAAACAGGAGCCACAAGTACCTTATGAATGCAACGCTGTAAGTTCCTACAGCATTTCCATGCAGAACATTGTCTTTCTGTAGTCCTGGGCTCTTTTGAAAATTTCCATTAGTAGACTTTCAACATCATTGTAGCATTTTTTTCAGCTTTGCAGTCTTCATCACTCATCTTTTGCTCAGACTATGTCATTGTAAATACAATTCCTAACATCCTTAAAGCATTTTTTCCTCGGTTTTCAAGGGGGAAGTCATTTGTAAAACATGTTAGTGATTAAATCAAAGTTACTGTGGTTTCCTCTTAGTGCAGGCCTCTCAAGTACGCACAGGCTGCATTATACTACACACAGCCTTCTCTCCAAGTCTGCTCCAGGCACTGGCTCCTCTCTCGTAAACTAATCCTGCCTCACACTTTAACTCTGTTTCAGTGATCAAGGGCAGAATTCATCGTGGCCTTACCTTTCTTTGTTTTACTGTTTACTGGCTTTTTCTTATAAACTTATTTTTGAGTAGTATTTATTCTCTCTCTGTCGAGTCCGACAGCAGCCTTGACACAGTGCTGTCTGTTCAGAGGTGGAAATGTTCCCAGTGCTGCTTGATTTGTAACGGGCCGCAGGCCTCCTCCACTTCCAGGTTCAAGTCAACTGATGATGGATGAGATGCTTGTGAAAAACAAACTATTCCTCACCCAGCTTCACAGCACAAAAGAATTTTTCAAGTTTATGGCTTTATTAAGATGAACTGCTTCTATTATTTAAATAATATCTTATTTTGGCTCTTTGTTTCTTGTAATAAGATAATTGAAATATTAGACTGTAAACTCCTCCTGATTGTTTTTCTGGAAAATTCAAGAATGTACTTATATAGTCATTTCGCCCCCCTGCAATTTTTTTTTTTTTTGGTTGGTTATTCTACACACCACAAACTAAAGACTGAAATAATTTGTCGATTGTAGGTTACTGTTATTGGTTCTTTTGTCAGCTGCTTAAAAAATCTTTTACATGGATTTGTAAATCATTTTTAGCCTATAATTTATAGGAGCCTTGTCCTGTGTTTATAGTAGACGGTCCCCGCCCCCCACACCCTTCTCCCCGTGGTGGCATTATCAGAGATCCTGGTCATTTTCCCTCACAAAGACTCTCTTACAGTGGTAACCGCTTCAATTAAAGTACAGTACATTTGAGCAGTTTTTTTCTTTTAAATTCTGATTTAGAAGCATCTGCCGTGGGTCTGTGCAGTTTCTAAAGATGTGCATAGAGGCCAAGTCTGCGGTCCATGGGGGTGGTGGTCGTCCCACTGTGTGGTCGTCCCACTGTGTGGGTCACACGGACCGGGCAGGCCAAACTGAGGGCTTCGAACATAAAATGCCCTTTCATTTTGAGTGACTTCAGAGTGAACACTAGTGTGACGTTGAACCTGCTGCTGACTTTTCTTACACTGTGGCGACTGAAGGCATCCTCATTTGTATATTAATTAGTGAAATCTTCATCACTCTTGCCACACAAGCGATTGTCACTGGTTGTTTTTTTTGTCTATTTTTCTTAGAAACTGGTACCATCTGTGTCCTCACAGAAAATTTCCAGTGCCCACTATGGTTTTTGAGAACTAAACTAACTGGTCATATTTAACCAAATAATTCTTACGGGGAGGGGGGTCCCTTTTTGAAACAAAATGCAATTCAATTATTAACCAGGTTGCTTACTTTCAGTTTCAAAAGCAGCTGTTTCTGATGAGTACTGAACAAATACGTGTCATTTTTGTTGCCAGACTTTTGACTCTGTTTTCAAGCACTGTAATGTGGGCTGAATGAGTAGAAACAATAATATATTAGGGTTTCTATTTAACCCTTTCAGGACTGAACTGTTTCTCCTCTTATTAATTTTCCCTGTGTTGTGATCAGTGTTTCCCAGCATTCAGTACTGTGTTGGTCCACATGTAGGTTTATATGCTCATTTTTAGCTTATTTCTTGTACCTTTCCGCATGCTCTACACATTCAGTCCTTAAGGGGGTTATTTTACAAACTGTGCGCCTGTAAGGTTTGTTAGCAATAAGATAGAAAATTGAGCAAGTTTATACCATAATTTTGTAGAAAAAAAAAAGAATCCGCTCGGTGCCGCCTTTCATCCGTGAGAACCTGCAACGCGGACGGTTTCGAGGAGTAAATAAAAAGGAAATGTAAACCATTGTAAAAGTCCTCTGTTGACTGTGCCCGATGCATGTATTATCATCTTTGATTTCAGAATACTTCATAAAGGTAAAATTAAATTCCACATTCCAGTTTGTGTACTTACGATCTGACCGTGCTGTCTTACATCACATCCAGGCCGTAGCGGTGCCGGTCTCCTTCCCGTGTCCTGACCGAACACTGCTTTCGGGGAGGCCCCGGTGCTCCCTCCGGAATGTGGAAATGGGCTCTGTCACTCAGGGGCCTGTCTCCCAGCTCAGAAACATTTCAAGCCAGTCTCAGCAGAACTGGGGGCTGTTATTTCATAACAAGCAGCATGTCCGGTGCGAGGCTGCCGTTTGGTGTGTTGAAGCGCGTGCAGTGGCTGGTGGTTTTTGATGGGGGCTCCTGCTTGGGGAGGCCGCACGTTCTGTTGGATAGCGAAACGGTAAAAGGGAGGAGGTCTGTATTTTTTAAATCATGGCTTGTTTCTTACCCGACCTCCCCCCAAAGAAAAAAGTATTAATGTTACCAGCATCTTGCTCTAAAAATAGTGTTTGGTCAATAAACAAGGAACAGTTTATTTGGATTTTGAATGGTGAGGCCTTTACAGGCTAAGGTTGATAGTGGTTACATGGCTTAGGATTTAGGGAATGACATGGCCTGGACCCGTGCAGTGTGTCCTCGGGCCTCTAGGTGGTTGTCAGTTCCAGGGCTGGGGAGGGCAAGCTTCGTAAGGTTCTAGTGCTGAGTGACCACACAAGGCACTCTTCTCCTGTTTAAAAATAGGTACAGTAATAAAAAATAAAATTATTTTAATAAAAATAAAATAAAATTAAGTACCTAGTAAGGTACACTAAGCAGAAACCCTAAAAAATGTTTAGTGCTAGAAAACACTGAAAGAGACAGATGGACTTGACAAGTGTAAAGTGCAGATGACACGATCCATCTCGACTCAGCAGTGAGATCCCTCAGCTGAAGGCCAAGGGGTAGAACCGTGGGCCGCTGGACGGTCACACACCTGTCTGTGTGCTAAGGCGAGCTGGCTGTGTGCCTGACACATAGGTGTTAAGTAGTTTAGTGACAAGTACTGAGTCACACCTGTCAGATCGTGTGTGACTCATCTCGGTGTCTGGGAAAGGCAGGCGAGGGTTCTCCACTACAGAAAGGGGCGGGTTTTCACTACAGAAACCTCCATGCTAGACAGGTAGGTCATTCTATAACTGTTGGGATTTATAGGGTCTCTCTTGCTGGGGAGTGGCACTTTAAATATGCCATTCTACAAAAAAAATATTAAACGTTAAGTATTGGGTTGGCCAAAAAGTTTGTTTTTTCCATTCGACGGCTCTAGTAGTGCCTAGTTGTCTTCAACGTTATTCAAAACAGTTTTGTTAGATTGTATTGTGGCAGCTGTCATATCAGCATGCATTTTTTAAAAAGTACCAAACTTGGTGAATTTTTGTGTAGCCATTTTAATTGAGGATGGAAGAAAATACACAACATTTTCTGCATATTATGCATTATTATCTAAAAAAAAGGTAAAAAATGCAACTGAAACACAAAGATTTGTGCAGTGTATGGAGCAGGTGCCGTGACTGATCAGACATGTCCGAAGTGGTTTGCAGTGTTTGGTGCTGGAGATTCTCCCTGGACGATGCTCCAAGGTCGTGTGGACCAGCTGAAGTTGCTAAGGATCCAGTCGAGACGTTAATCGAAAACAACTGACATTAACCACTCAGGAGATAGCTGACATACTCAAAATATCCAAATCAATAAAGTTACTGGTGAAAATGAAAAATGTGTCATTTTATGGGAAAAACCAAATGAAATTTTTGGCCAACCCAATATGAAGTTCAGGTGTTCATCAAGTTCTCTCTAGCACAATGCATGTAGTCCCTGTTTTTTATCCCCTTATATTAACTTGAAAGTGCTATCCAAATGCCAGGTGTTGGAGAGAATCACCCTGGACACTTGAATCATTTTTTATTTTCCAGATGAAGATAATGGATCTTAATTTCTTTCTCATAGCCTAGTCTAATGAGGTGTGTTTCTGGACCACATACGCTGCCTTTAGAGAGACCAGAGTATGAAGTAGTGACCTACCTGTGATGATGCCCAGGTCCTAGATGCCATTGTGCCGTTGATTTATCATCTAGGTGGCTGATTCTGCAGCCCTCCAGTACTTACTGGTCTCACTTGTGGGGGTGGGGGTGACAGTGTTGTCTGGAAGGAACACAAACAGAAATCCCTCTGCTGTGGTGTCAAGGGCCTGGCCCGGTGCAGCTGCAGCCCAGAAGGCTGCTGTAGCTGCCCTCCATCACCTCCGACGGGTCAGGGTTTCCTGTGGCTCAGGTATCCAGGATCGGCTTGAGCTTAGTTCTCAGGCCTGCATTTTGCTTGTTTGTTCCAGAAAACAGGGATAGGGTGGTTTTGCTTTTAATACTTCAAAGATTTGAAAATGTACACCTTCAATATAATAACTTATTGGAGTTTTAAAAATCAGAAACCAAGACTGGTTAACTTAAGGGAATAGGATTTTGTAAGAAGAACAGAATTGAAGCCTGAATTATGCTTAGAAATATCTCAGTGCTGGGGGCTGTGTTTGCTTCGGAGAGGTCTGTGGGGTGTCTGGAGAGGGCCCCTCTGAGAAGAGCCAGCCCAGCTGGAAACAGCTAGGGGAGCGGGGCCGAGGGCAGGTGGGTGCTCTGCTGGGCCTGGTGCAACTCAGCACATGGTCTGATGCAGGAGCGGCCTCTGTGTCCTTCCGCATCCAGCTTCAAGGACAGGTTGCTGCTGGCCAAGATAGGGGAGACGAGGTGGAGATGAAATGGGAGAGGAGCGAGTTGGGAGTGGGGAGGAAATCAAGAGTTTTAGTTATGTACTAGGCTTCAAGTTAAAATGTCCAGTAAGCAGACCAGATCTGGAGCTCACGGTGATTCTGCAGGGAGCCAGTCACACACAGGTGGTGGTGAAACCCTAAGCCAAATGGGATCGCCGAGGGAGGCCGAGAGGTAGGAGAGAGGTCCAAGACTCGAGCCCTGGGGAGTCCCTGTCTTAAATAGCACTTCTGCGCCCTGTGTGTGCGGGATCTCCGGGCACGCTGTCTGCAGCTGTGGTCTGCCCGCCCTGCATCTCCCGAAGCTCCCAGGTGACCCGTCTGCTGTGGGGCGAGAGACCCCACTTGGAGCAGCAAGGGCCTCAGATGAATGGCAGTAATTGACGAGACAAGGGCTGCTTCAGTCCATAAAAGCATCGTTGTTTTCCAAGTCACTGCAAACTCAGGAGTAATGGTTTCAGAGTTAGTTTCACTGGTTCTTAAGCACAGAATTAAATTTGCTCTTTACACTTGAGAAAGTCTTATGTACCAAATCACAGATGGGCGAGTCAGGTTCTCGTTACAAGCTGATAATGTGGCCTGTCAGAAGGCTGAAATGTTTACGTACAGCCGTAGTCCTGGTGTATCAAATCCAGAGCCTTTTGGCATCCAAGACAAAATCGCTATACCCAGAAATGGGAGGAACACTGAGTAGCTCCTAAGTTTTTCAACTTTTTGGTTTGGGAGTGGGGGGACCCAAAACCCTCATTTTTAATTGAGTTCCCCTACAGATTCAGACTAAATTATCACTAAACCCTACATGAGTGCCGCCTGCAGGGAGCCGCCTGTTGCTCTCAGCTGGCCTGGCTCTGGGAAGGCCATGTGCTCTTCCTTCCCTTTCCCTGGGCTTTTAGATCCACACGAACCACACAGGTTCCTTCTAGGGAGTGGGATTGTCTACGCAAGGTGAGCAGAGAAGCAAAATGAAGGGAGAGATCCCCAGAAATGTTACAGACAACCCCACCCCCATCCATCCACCATACTCCTATGCTCCTGCACAGCAGTGACAGGCCAGGTTAGCGCTGCCAATGCAGCCAAGGTCAAGGGCGTAGAACTCGAAGAGCCTGTGAGTCAGGGGACTGGGAGGTGGAAGCTGAGTCAGAGCTCACTGGCCAGCAGAGGGAGCCGTCTCACATGCAGGCTGGGGAGCAGCCTTCCCTGGGGACCAGATCAGGTCCCCAGCCAGCCACGACGTCATTGGCCCTTTCATCCCGGGAGTTTGAAGGTGTCCTGGTCCCATAAGCCGGGGTGGGAGGGTCACACAGGTGGCAGGATCTCACAGATGCAAACAGCTAAAACAGACAGGGCCCCAGTGTCCTCCTGTTCTCACACCTGGCAAGGACAAGCAGAAGCAAATAATGAAAAAAAAAAAACAATTCAAAAGCAAATGTTGACATTAAACTGAAGACTTTTGAACCAGCAGGAGAACATGTGTAGCCAAACACAAGCCAGGCCGAGCGCAGCTTCCCGTCTACGCTGCGGAGTGCATGGCAGATTAGCAGTATCGATTGTTCCTTTCGTTTTTGAGATACGCAAATTACAGGTTGCTGGTCAAGTGCATCTCAGCGGGTCTCCCACCAGTCTGCCTGGGTCAGCCCGGCTGTGATCCCAGAGCGGGCTGGCAGGGGCACGCAGCCCAGCAGACCCACATCGTGGCTTCCCAAGGCCCCCGTGGACTCGGGAGCCAGGGCCTGTGACAGAAACTGCCGCGGGGGAGCCCGGCACACAAGGAAGCAGGCCCCAGGAAATGACATGTGGTCCCGTTCCCTGCCTAGGCACTTCTTTGACTCTCAAAGTGCAGGGGTGTTGGGGAGGGGGCAGCAGTCACTGGGCAGGGTGACCAGACCTGAACTTGCCTAAAGCCAGGGCAGAGCAGACGTGGGGTGAGGGTTGGGAAACATGGGTCCCAGGCCCAGCCACTCAGGTGGACAGAGAGGGTTGGGCCACCTCCATGTTTCGAAGGACCTAGAATATTACAAGGAAGTGGCCTCTAGTTCCGCACCCTGGGGAGATGAAAGCACAGGTCTGTGCAAAGTCCTGTGGGTGTTTTAAGCGGCTGATTTATAATGTCCATAAACTAGAAACAACATAAATGTTCTTCAGCTGACTGAAGAATAAACAAATTGTGGTCCGCCCATACGTAATGGATTGAGTCATGGCCCCTGAAACTGTATCCCGGTGCTCGTCCTGAGAAGGTGTGACCGTGACTTTTCTTGGAAAAGTGTCTTTTGTAGATGTCATTAAAGT